AGTCAAATTTGATCTTTAAAAACTTAAATGCAATGTCAGTTGTTATCTTCTGTCTTCATAATTCCTGTTTTTTTTTTGTTTTTTTTGTTTTTTACTGTTCACTCTCCTTAATAATGTTTTCTTTTTCTCATAATCTCTCACATTCAGTAACCGCCTGTGTCTTAGTGGTTTTATTGCCTTGCTTGGTGGATGAAATGATTAAAAAAAAAAAAAAAATTCAAAATAAAACCTAATGATAGACTTTGTGATTGATTCATTTTTATCAAGGGAAATTGATCCTAAGGATTCATGAATTTAAACTACAGTTAAGTTTAAAGATTTTAATTAAAGAGTTTCCTATGGTCATAACATTTGAAAGATATTTTTCAGAAACCATGTGATAATTTAAAATACCTTCTTGTTTGATAAAATATGTAAAGCTATTTCTTACTTTATTAGTAGTAAACACTTGTTGCTTAAATCTATATTGGAGACATGATAAATAATAAAAACAAAAGATTCCCACTCTAAGGTCTGTAAGGGAGATAAGATCAGACTCGTTGTGACTCGTCACAAAAAAAAAAAAAAAAAGTGCTTTATCTATCAACTTTATTAAAATAAAGATGGTGGTGTGACACAAACACACATGTAAAATTGATTTTTTTTTTTTTTTTTTTTTTTACATTCGATATTATTTATAAATGCCAGATGGTTGTTACTAATTTCAGTGTTTAAGAAAGTACAAAAACAGGGATAGCAACTCAAGCACATGTACCCATGAAAAATAATGTTTATATAATGTTTACTTCTAGTAAAGCAAGAAATAGCTTTATAATAATATGAAATATATATTTGTAAGAAATGACATGAGGAAAAACTTTTATAGCAACAGGTTTAATTCCTTGAGGAACATGACACTTGCCTGTATAAAATTGCTCAAGGAACAAAACACACTGGTATAAAAGTTTTTTCTCTTGTCATTTGTTGTCTTTACAGATACATTTATTTACATCTGAATTAAATTTTATACTAGCAGTAGAGCCTGGCGTTGCCCGGGGATGTAACAGTAAGAAATAGATCAAGTATCAACCATCATAAAGACTGAAAAATAAAATTGACAAAGATTATTGTTTAAGGTTCTTTTTTTTTTTTAGGAATTGGTCAAACCCAAACTCAATGTTTTCAATCGTTATGAGTCTACCGATTGAATAGAATTTTATTATAAACAATTGTCTTGTAAATGGAATTTTTAAAGCATTCTGAATGTAAAAATAAAGAAAAAAGTGTGCAAGACAATAAGAAACACTACCTGCCAAAAAAAAAGTGATGTTTTGTTGAAATCGTTTGAAAAATCTAGGAAATCCTATCCCATATATAAATGAACACACACAAACAACCTGGGTTTTATAAGCATAACTCGATATGAGTTGTGCCCCTTTCATTCTGTGAAAGCGATGCCTCTTAATCTTGATTTCATACAAAAACAATTGTGTTTTTTCAGAACCAATTTTTTTACATAGTCCTGTGAAGTTTTGTTGAAATCGTTTGAAAATGTAGAACCGATCCCATATAAAATGAACACACACAAACAACCTTTTTATAAGCATAATCCCCCTTTCATTCTGTGAAAGTTTTGTTTGATTTCAATTGTGTTTTTTCAATTTTAGGGCGCTGTCAGAACCACCGCAAGGTAAAATTTTGTTGAAATCGGTTGAAAATGTAGGAAATCCGATCCAATATATAAACGTACAGACACACACACACACACACACACACACACACACACACACACACACACACACAACCTGGGTTTTATAATAAGTATGATATATTTTTTTTCCATACACTCATACATATACATATGTATGTATAGATAGAGGTAGCATTAGGGTGATTGAAAAGTAACTCCCTATGTATGAGGAGTCCTGACTTAACAACACCCTGTGACATTTTTCTTTGGGGTTGGGTTAAAGGAGCAAGTCTACTATACCAAATCAAGACTTTGGAAGAACTACAAGACATTATGTCTTCTATACCAAAAGAGTTCCTGGTAAAATCAGTTGACATGATTACTGGGCAGCTCAAGAAGTTGGTAGTGAGATCTAGTGCCCATATCAAATTTTAAATAAAACCACATGCTAAACGTTTTCCTCTCATATTTGTTTCTTGTAAAAATTATAGTTAATAAGTGAATTACAAGTATTTTAAAATGAGGAATTACTTCTCAATCACCCTGTGTATAGTTGTCTCCAATGCCGATGTTTTCTCAAAATGCAACATTGGTGAAATTGAAACCTTCCTGATGCAGTCACAAGGTCACTGGGCTGGTCATGTTACAAGAATGAGTGAAGACAGATTACCTAAGATCCTCATTTAGCCCATACCTGTTAGAGGGGGGAAGAGATGGGTTCATAACTTTCCCAAGGGTATTTGTGCGAAAGTGAACACCAATTCCACTTTCAAGGACAATAACCACCACACACACACAACCATCAAGAAATTATCATGATAAAGTGGTCATTTTTTTAACTGTTTTTCGGAGTGGGGGACCTCAACAAAAGAATCCACCTATGGCAAATTTATGTGTTTTAAAACAAGTAAAAAATATTTTAGCCACAGTTAAATTAGACAAATGAAAATTTGTAATCAAAATTTGAAATAATAAACTAAAAAAAAAAAAATAAAATGACGATGTCTGAAGTACAAATAAGAAAAATACTCTGTTTTTTGAGCCAGAAAATATTTTTAATTTTAAATCATCAGATGCGAGTCTATCACCGAGCTAGCCCACCGTTTTTGCGAAGCAGCTTTCGTGATGTTTTGGGTTTTATTATGAATCAGAGAGAAAAGTGATAATGAACAATGTTTTTCTTTTTCATTATTTATAACGAAAAACATAGCTTACGTTTTTACGACAAAAAAAGATGAAGACTTGGAAGGATGCCTTCTTTTTCTTTAAAAATAAAGAAAAAGAATTCGTTTCAAACATGCGATGTCCGCTAGCTATTACCGGCCAAGTGATCGATTTATTTATTTTACATAATCAAAAACTTTTACAATTTGCTTTTGATAATTTTTCCCTCCACACGAGTGACTGATTTCAACAGTTCCTGGACGGACATAGGACACATAACCACTTCTTTTTTTTTGTGAGATTATTTCTTCCGGCTTGTATTTTCAAAAGACAAGAAGACGAAAACGTTTTTTTACATACAGAAAGATTTTAAATAGTTTGTTTTTTTATATGGTCTGATTTTACTTAGGCCAAGTTTTATGTGGGTGCTGAATGTTTTTTCGATTTTGGGGGGACACGAGATACAAACAACAGAATTTATTTTGGAATCCTTTCCTGGGGACTTTTCAGCACCCCACGCAACAGCTAAAGATGAAAATAAAGTCAAAATATCTATTCTTGCTTGTCATTCATACTAAAAAAAAAAAAAAAAAAAACATATCCTGCTGAATTTTTCTTCTTGCATTAGAAAAGAAAAGATGCAAGTAATTAATTTCTCCAATTACACAAGTATTCTTTTTTAAATTTACAATTTTTATTAGTAATTAGATAATTTAAGTTTAAAGTTTTTTTTTAATTTTTGAAACAACAGAGCTAATTTTATTTTAGCTTTTTTTTATTATTGCTGTCCATCCCCAAATTTAAAATTTGTATTTAAAAAAATATATCTGCTAAAAAAAAAGATCAAACAGCTTTTTAATAAAAATGAAAGTAAAAAAAAATATTTGTGAAGTAAAAATACAATTTGTTTTCAAATTATTAAATGTTTTAATTTTTTTGTAGCTTCCAAAAACGTTTCGGATTATTTAATTATAATTATTTTTATTTTTTAGTTTTATGTCGTCATTTTAAAGAAAAAATAAAACCTGTCAATCAAATTGTTAATATTTTAAAAATCTCCGACCTGATCAGTATCTGTTCTGATAAAAATCATTTTTTTAAAAAATGACAACTTTTTATTTTAGAGATAAAATTAAAAATCAATTACAACGAAAATATTATTACCTATTTTTTAATTTTTGTTTAAATTAAAAAATGTGTACTTAGTGTAACTATGCTTTATTTATCGCCATGTGTAAAAAAAAAAAATTATTTGCACATTAAGTAACAGTGTTTTTTTAAAACTAAAAAAATATATTGGTAATATTTCAAAATTCAATTTTTAGCTTTGGCGCTATACTTTCGCCCCCCCCCATGACACTATCAACCACACGATGTTTTTTTTTGTCTTCAGTTCTTTTTTAGTTTAAAAAAACAAATACGAATAGATTTCCCTTTTTTTCTTAATATTTGTTTCATAATTTGTGGATTTTAATTTTAAATAATAAATTTCATTTCTTTATCTTACTTTCTTTTTAGAAACTTTTGACAGCAGAAACACATTTTTTTTTTTTTTTACAGAAGCATTTTTAACGATTGCTAATGTTTGTAAATTAATTTAATTAAATTTAATTATTAATAATTGCAACAGTCCAACTGTTGCTATATGAAAAACTTTAAAAAAAAAACTTTTAAAAATAAGTTTTTCACTTTATAAATTTATCATCTGGTAACTCAAACTGTTCAAATGTGTGCGAAAGTGTAGGCTTTTTAAAAACTAAAAAAAAAGATTTTGAAACATTATCAAATCAATATTTAAATTTCATATTTATTTTTTATTATTTTATCGATTGACTGGATGGATTTATTGAAATTAAAAAAAAAAAAAAAAGTAAATTTAAATTCGCTTGAAAAACATTTCTGTACTGTAGTGTAAATTTTATTTTTGTTTCTTTAATTTTAAGTAACTGGTTGACTAAGATCGGAGATGATATAAATATGGTTTTATTTTAGCAAATTAAGAATTTTTAAAATGATTAAATTAAGTTGGAAACATTTTTAATTTTGATGATTTAAAAAACTAAACAATATCAATCAACAGTCGTTTAATGACAACGACAGCAATAAATATGGAAGTACAAAAAAACAAAACAAAGAGTAATTAATAAATAAGTTGATTAATTTTTACCTGTTCCTTTTTTATTTAATTCTACGCATCTTCTCAATTTATTTCGGAAGTCCATTACCCCAACATCGTCCAACGACGACTCTTCCTCCTGTTGACCAGTAAGGGTCATGATTAATATAGCATAACAAAAATATAATATGTAACAAACGTTAATAACCGAAATAAATAAGCTCCTTCTAAAGCTCTGGTTAACTACCGCTACTCGTCAGGACAGGATTCCCGACGTTTAGCCGTCAAGGAATGATCGGCCGTGGCAACAAGAGAGACGAGTTTCATGTCATGTCACAAGAAAACAAAAACAAGACGACAATGACAACAACAACAACAGGCAGTTGCCATCTTTGAATTTCGTTTCCTATAAACTTAAATCTGATTGGTTGATTCTGGAAAGAAAAAAAACAAAAAAAAAAAAAGGATGTAGATGGCGCCGCCCTGCATGGCAAAAAAATGTAAACAATCAGGGGGAGGTCACTCAAAGTTACTTCACAACTAAAACATCAAACCCTGATAACGAGACACGTTTTTTTTCTATCTTTGAAGTTTGTTTTTTTCTACTATGAAGTTAAGTAACAAAAGCAAACTTGTTAGTTCTTTAAAATTTGACTGATTCTATCATCTAAACACACTTTGTTTATTTGTGTGCATGGTGAGTAAACGAGCGAAGAGATACGTTCGATTATTTATTACGTAACATAAACAACCACTTTTTTTTATTAATTCGCTCCTTCCTACACAGCTAATTGTTTTGTATTCGTCATCGTGAGGAAAAAAAAAGAAAACTTTTGGAATATTGGTGAAACATTTTTTACTACCTTATTTGGCTTTGTGTCATACTAACCAACAGACAACTTCAGTATTTTTTGACTGGCAAGTGCTTCTTATTCACACAGAAACTACTTTAAGCAAGAAACAAAATGCGTAAAACTACCACAAGCAAATTGTTACTTGAAAAACTAAAAAAATATGTGAACGTTGTCAGCAAAATTTCTCTAAAATTTACGAACTGATTTGGAAATCTTACTGAAACAAATTTAATTTATCGAAATTTATTTTTACAAGTTATTGTCATTACTTTATTGACAATATCGTTGGGTTATTTGCGTTTTGGGGATACAAAATAATTAAAAGAAACAAAAAGAAAAATCTAAAAAAAAATAGCCGCTTATTGCTTTTTTTTTACAATTCTTTCTACAAAAAAAAAACAAATAAAATGGAGAGAAAAGACTTGAGTAAAACGATGAAAGGCGCCAGCAAAACAAACGACTATTACCAAGAGCCTGAAGTTAACAAAATAGAAGAAAACATGGAATTCGGCGGTGTTCTTGGAACCGCTTTTAATGTTGTCGCATTGCCGGCGCTCGTCCTTTTCTTGAACCTCATGTGCAACGAGCACTCTTGTAAATTTGGCCAATTCCCTGTCTTCTACAGCGGTTGGGCTTACTTTTTTGATTGGGATGCTGTTTTTATGTTCTTTGGTTGGCTGTTTTTTCAGGCATTTTTAGCTCTTCTTCCTGTTGGGAAAATTCACTACGGTCTCCCATTAAAAGATGGAACTCGTCTGAGATATCGATGTAATGGGTTCATCTGTCTGTGTCTCTCAGTGTCAGCTTTTATGGTCGCTATACACTACGAACTCCCGATAGAACACGTTTACAACAAGTTATTCCAAATCATGGTGACATCACTGATTTTCAGCTATCTGATGAGCTTGATACTGTACATCAGGTCTCTTAATTTACCCTCTTCGAAGTTGGCACCCAGTGGCAGCACTGGTTACATAATCTATGATTTTTTCATGGGCCACGAACTTAATCCCAAAATCGGAAATCTGGATTTAAAATTCTTTTGCGAGATGCGCCCCGGTCTCATTGGTTGGCTGATTATAAACCTTTGCATGGTCATTAAGTCATTTAAAGACAACATTGGTCCTTCCCCGGCCCATCTCCTCGTGACTATATTCCAAGGGCTTTATGTTTTTGATGCCCTGTGGTTTGAGGACGCAATTCTCACGACAATGGATATTACCCATGATGGATTCGGTTTCATGCTATGTTTTGGAGATCTCGTTTGGGTCCCATTTCTTTATACCCTTCAAGGAAAATACCTAATGAACTATGTACACGATACACCATGGTTGATTCTTATTGGTATTTCAATTGTCAACTGTATTGGCTATTTGATCTTCAGACTTTCAAATTCTCAGAAGAATCAGTTTCGACAGGATCCCAAACATCCCTCAGTTGCGCACTTGGAAAGTATTCCCACACCCAGTAAAAACCGTTTACTGGTATCTGGTTGGTGGGGAATATGTCGGAAACCTAACTACCTTGGAGATATCATTATGTCAGTCTGCTGGTCACTAACTTGTGGTTTTGGTAGCATTATTCCTTATTTTTATCCAATTTATTTCATTATCCTTCTAGTGCACCGGGAAAAAAGAGACTCCAAACATTGCCAGAAGAAATATGGACCCAGTTGGCAGAAATACTGTGAAAAAGTAAAATACAAAATATTCCCATACATCTATTAGTTTTAAAAATCTCTTTCTATATTGGCCCATTAAGAAAGCAGCTGAACCGATTTTATCTGTGCTCATATTTAAAATCTGCCTTTTGTAAAAATTTTAACATCATTGATTCTCTTTGACTTTTTTGAAATTGTAAAAAGGATGAACCGTTTTATATATATATATATATATATATATATATATATATATTCACAGCAAAAAGACAAAAACTACTTCAACATAGAGATAGTCTATTTCAAGCTGTTCTGTATACAGCTATCATCAGTCTCTAAGTGTCTGTCTCGAAGCATTTTTTTAAATTTATTTTCAATGTCAGTCCTCCTCTCGTAGACACCTTGTTAATGAGAGTGGGTTTGTGTTAGTGATTGGTGGGGGCATAAGGTATCTTATCCCGGGGGGAAGCAGTCTGAGGCTGGAGTTTATTTATGGCCAGAACTTGTTGTTTGTGGTTTAATATCAGTTCCTACTATGTGGTGTTTCTAATAAAAAGCCCCAGAGACAGACAAGAGGCTGATGATATCTGTGTACAGAATGGCATGAAATAGACTATCTCTATGTTGAGGCAACTTTTGTTTTTTGCTGTAAAAAAAATATATGCTCTATTAAAATAATAACATCGAGCTTTCTGTGGATCATTTTTAATAATTAATATTATTAATAATTAGTATTGCCAACAGATCAATTACCTGTATTTTATATATATATATATATACACACACACACACACACACACACATATATATATATAAAAAAAGCAATTTTTCCTGTTGCAAAATAAATTTGTTAGATTTTTTTCAAATTAATCTTTTACTAATTATCCAAATGGCTTCAGATACCTTGTTGTAAGATTACTGCTTATTATATTGTCAAAATAATTGTAACAAAAAAAACATAAAATGTAATAATTTTTGGGATAAAAATGATACTCACAATTTTAGATAAACTACTGAAATAAGGACTTCATATTATTATAAATTTCAACTGGCAGTAGTAGTGGCTGCAATATTTATTTCCATTTTTACAGAAAATATGGCATAATGTGAAAAGGCGATTGTAAAAGACTGGTCTTCATTTGTCCTACATTTAACTTGGCGAGCTACAGTCACTGACCTAAACATACTGTAATTTCTGTTACACCAAAACAACACATTCTTTCTTAGCATTCTGATTACAGTCACCGCTTCTCTATGATGTCTTAACTAGTCTCTATATGTATAGTTTGTCTGTAGAAGGGTGGGGGGAAGAACAAGTTTAAAACAAATCTAACCCCAATGCATATTTACAATTATGAAATACCGTTTTAGTAATATCCACCCCCCACATCCTAAATTGAGACAGAAATATCAGTTAGCCAGAGAAAATTAATGCAAGACTAAATACAAAAGTTGAAACAATCATTTTACCTAACACTCCCTCAAATGAAACAACAAATACAGAAGCATACCTGAAAAACGAAAAGTGCCCACATCTGCTACAGAACTGACATCTCTATCACCTAACAGGGAAAGGGAGGGAGAATTAAACTAAAGAAAGAAGGGACGGAAATAAAGAGGCCAATGGGCATATATCCCCTAAGCTAACTTCAAACAAACTTAATCTCTACTCTTTTGAACTGGGATGCCAATGTTTAGCCCAGATGACCAAAATTCTGATGCCTAACCAACATTAAGATGCCACACCAAGTCAGTTCTTTTTACTCAACATAGACACAAAAAACTCACCCATCTTTCACCAAATTCAAATGAAGAGAGCCAGCACCTTTTCATTCTGATCTTGACTTTAAGCTCATGCTTAAAGAACAAGATCAGTTAGAAAGAGGAAAACTTCTCATCCCCATAGAATTCATTCTGGTACATTCTCCACACTATGACTTGCATAATGTCGAGTAAGCAGAACACATAGTGTTCAGTCTTTGTCACCAACAGCACCACATTGTTACAGACAGAACTAGCTTCGAGAATGAAGGACATTCCATGCAGTATGCATGTGGACCATTGAAGCCTTCTATTAGCCTGTCAATGGACATATGACGTTGCAGTGGAAGAATGTATGTTTGATGGTTTCCTCCCACTCACCACAGTGAATGCACTCTTGCAAAATTGCCAGTCCTGTTGAACAAAGCTTCTTGCTGACCCAGAGGGTCCATTGCACCACAACCTGGTGAATGATGATTCCTTGTTAGCACTGGCTGCTCAGTTAATGAATGCTGAATGTTTTCATATAAGAAAACAGTTAATATTACAATTACCATTATAAATGGGAACAGATACTACACTTAGCATCTTTCCCAATCTCCACAGTGACGAGATATGGAACAAGGTCGGTTTAAAGTGTGTAGCCTGGGCCTATATACATGGGACAAGGCCCAAAATTGTTGAGTCCTCACAACAAACGTCACACTGGTATTCTACTGATCCTTGCTCTTTGGTGCAATGCAGGAGATACCACACTTAGTACTTACTTGCCACTCCATGCTGGCAGAATGTGACACAGGGTCAGTTTAATGTGAGAGGCCTGAGCATGTGCACCCGGATCAGGTCCAAAAATAGCCCAACCCCACAACTGTTGCTTGCACTGGCATC